ACTTATCCTTCACTGAAGCAACCGAATTTGGGTCTAAATCTCATACGTATTACTTATCATTAATCTCATTACTCATCAAAAGAAGCATACGATAAAGTGGCGAGATGAAAAAATTTGTTTTACGAATTACTCGGAGGAAAATTGCATCCTTTAGCAACCAGATTTATTACACATCCAAAATGATTGGATTCATTCTTTAAAAAATTCGAAATTCACTTATAATAAAGAAATTCGACAAAGTCGGAGGATTATTCAAATCATTGTGTATATATATTTTTAATTTACAGCTTCTGATAGCAATGCATTTTCAACATTTTGCTATCCTTGCATTCATCGTGATATCATCCAATATTACATCAGCAACAAGTAGACTTCTTGAATTTTCGAATATTTAATTTAAATGAACTTTTTGAAGTGATACACTATACATAATTGGGAAATTTGAATGAATTTGCATTTTCTGTTTAAACATATGAAGAACAAGAGCTTTAGTGATGAATTCATTAAATTTTCAGGTTGAACAGTTGTGGATGAACCCAGCGCTCACAAAAAGAAACATTGGAACTAAATTTCGGTATCCCAAAAATAAATTAGTCTCTGCTTTTAAACAAGTGGGACGTATAATTGCTAGTTACTTATTCAGCAAAGATTTAAAAAATCTTAGCAAATAAGCATTCTTCTTTCACTTGTCTATTATCACGCTACAAATATTCCCTAAGGCTTGAAAATCATATCTGCTAAATTTTGTAATTTCAATTACTAGTAACTATAGGAGATAAGGGAAATTGAAATGAGTTAATAAGTTATAATGAATTCATTGGAAATAATAAAAATAATGGATTATTCTTTTATATAATCTTACAGGGGAATCCCGAGATGTCTGAATATGCAAACCACGAGTTAAGCCGTCGATATAAAATACTGCGCTACCGGGACGATAAAACAACTCCTCCATATTTAAAGAAAGCTTGGAACTCGAGTCTACAACGAATTTCACCGATTTGGGGGCATGCTGCATTCTTTGTTCCTTTGAATAAATATAAAATAATAATTTACTAAAGATCAGAAAAAACTTCCAGGAGACGAAAATTTGATGATGTAGTGATGTAAATTTAAGCTTTAGTAAAAAAAATACTTCGCGATGCATCATTGGACACCAATTCATGCTATTTTCTTTGGTGGAGAAAAACCGATAAATACAATTGTCACAGCGTTGGATTGCTCAATGCTGATATTCACTTCTCAGGAAGGTCATCTAAAAATACGCAAGGAATTTGTACATAGAAATTTTTGGCGGACTTTTGCGTCATATGTCTTACTGTAATTAATTAAAGAATAGCATTAAACCACTATTAAATAAACAAATAGTTCTAATTATGTGATTTCAGCAAATAATCCATTCTACCCCAGTAAAATAAAAGGAAATCCAATGAACGAATGATTATCCCATACAGTTTGTATTCATTCTCGGACTAGAACATTGATTATTGGATCATGGGCAAGAAGTTTGTCATCTTTTATACAGCTGTAGTCATTGTCAAACTATGCCAAAATCATCCAATGTTGCGATACAATCGTTTTTGCCACAAATACTGCAGTGATTTCTATTCCAAACTTTGTATTAATAATTAGATGTGACAGTCGAATGGTCACAATACACGAGTGATAATGACAATGACAATGATGTGATGCTTGAGTGATAATGATAATGATGTGATATTTGAGTGACAATAAAATCTTTGTCTAAATATACTAAGAATTGTAAGCAGAAGGCATAATAGCGCAAACAATTCAATTAGGGAATGGAATTAGAATTAGAATTAAACCAATATACCAAAAATGTAATTCATTCCCTCCCCCCTCCCCCCCTCCCCCCCACCCCCAAAAGATCAATGAAGAACTCTACCGAATACTTAATATTCATTGGGTATGTTGGTCTTTGTCATGGTTGTCTTTAACTACAACAGTTTTTTCAGTGGACGAATATCACTTCTCAATCATCTGGAAATTGGTGAAGTGAGTTAATTAAAACTTAATGCATTAGTATGCAACACTCCGTGTGAAGTGTTATGTTCATAATGAAGTGAATTCTACATAGGACTTCATTGCTAGGGCTTATTAGAAGTGCTATCTTTGGAACTAATAAGATAATCATGAATCCCAAGATCCAGTGATGTTGGCTGTTGTGACTAGTAGCGGCCCCAAATCTATTCATATTGACGCTGAAAGTGAAGCGCTGGATGCAGCCAAACAAATTCGAAGGAAAGTTGTTAGCATGCCAATTCGCGTTGTTGCTCAATCGGATAATCGAAATAGAACGTAAGTTAGACTTGATTGTTTCTTGGCTCATAGATCAATTTAGAATGGAGTGACACCGAAAGGTGTTGATTACGACAATATTCATCCACAGAATGTGTTTGATAGGAATAACATTAATTCCGGTGCTAAATAAGAATCTTTCTTGACGGCTTTCGAAATAGGACAAATGCTATAGTAATTATGGACAGACGATGAATATTTTAATATTGCCACAACGAATATCTCAGTTTCAGCACATACAACAATCTCTCGGTAGTGGATGGTAAAGTATTAATATTCTACGGATCTGACATAAATGCGTCGACCCATCTTGTAGATAGAAATAACAGCGAAATGTTGGAAACAAAGTTTGAGGACTGGAAGGTTTGATTTGTTTATTCGCTCTAATTGTTTTTTAATTTACTTCAGTTTATTCGTAATCGTTAGTGTTGTGAAGTCATTTTCTTATTAAAAGCTTGTTAATTCTTCAGATTTTTGAGGTTTGACTGCGTTTTTTAAGTGACTTCACGTGTTGTCAATATTTATCAAAAATATGCTCGTTATAACTTTGCTAATTGTGTAAAATTATCCCTTTTCTGCAGAAGAAATTGCTCTTCTTTAACACTCATCAAGTAATAGCCTTTCATTTTACTGTGGTCAATGGCACTGAACCGGAGGATAGCGAAGAAATATTCAGGTAGGGTATTAAGAACATTCAATGGTACATTCATGATCACTTTCCAGAATCACATATTGGTGTATTGCGGAAATGTCACAGCAAAAGTGGACAGGGCAAACTGTTTTGTTGGCTTTGCCTTTTCTCTGATCTGATAAGACTATGGATATCACTTTTCCCTTTGCAGTAATACTGCTGAGTACGTTACGTTTACTTGATAAATCATCGATGACTGGAGTTAACTATCAAGTTGAAACAGAATTTCATTTCCATGCCGGTCATGTATATGCCATTGTTGGTTTTCGAAAATTTGGTGAGAAAAATCCAGTTATGGGAAATCTTTCCGAGGAAAGTGATTGGTTTTTATTATTAAATGACTATTTCGTAGATATAGTTCAGATGAATTTCGATAAGTGATTCAATTGTTTTGTCAGCAGCTAAAGCCATAAAGACATTATTATGAAGTATGATAAACATTTGACAAAATATAAACGGATAGTTCACTTGTGAAATCATGCAAAATATGTAAATTGAATAGCCAATTTCTGTGCTTTGAATACACAACCGTAATTAGGCCTTTGACTAATGAGGCCAACGATGCTTTCTATTTCGTTGTTCTGAATGTGCTCATAGATTTGCATATATTCTAAAATACACAAAGTCATACTGGAGACAAAATAATTTCGAGCATATTTTATCGAAAAAAGAAAGAAAACTGATTGCGATTGCAATGGTTGGCAATCATCCATTCAAAAGACGTAAAGGAAACTGTTTGATTTTTATGCTTCCATTATGATGTTTAAGTCGAAAATATGATGCTTAACAGTGAAATCCAATGTATTCAACGCCAATTAATTATTACTGCGCAACTAAGTTCTACTGCCTTAACTTTCATACACCTTTTTGAACGATTTCACTCATACCAAAAATTTAAAAATAATGTCCTGTCTATCATTTATGGAATGCATATATCATACGGTAAATTTGCAGTGACCCTTCAACGCTGTTAAAAGTTGATAAGAAGTTCAGTTTTTCGATTCAGGTTGAACCAATAATTTATCAGTTGAAAAAAAAATATGGATTAGTCGACTGTGTCAAAAACGTTGAAAGAAATTGGTTGTACTAATAGACTTTTATTGATTTCTACCAAGTAAATGGTAAACCAATGGACTTCATAAGTGTAAACCGATCGCGAGATTGCAATGTTTATTTCCATTTTTATTGCTTAGAATTTGAGCCTAATAAGGCTGTGAAAATACCAATGTTATATGGAAATGAAATATTCGAATTTTGTGACTTTTTTTTAGGTCGAAGTTTTTGCTTTATTGCATACTTAACTAAAAGTTCTCAATTCGTTCCTCAATTATTTACTACTCTTTTGATGTACACTATTTGTGTTGCTTATTTAATTTTTTTTTCTTTTCTTACTGGCGATTTTTCATAAAATAAGTATGCGAAGAATACCTTTACAAATTATATAACATGAATTAACCATATTTAACCACATTTAAGGATGCCCGAATATTTTCAATTTAAAATAAAAAAGTGAATCAGTTTGATTCAACGACAGTTTTCATTGCATGTACGAGATCGGCAGACGTTGAGACAAGTTATCGGATCAGCCTGATTCCGGAATAATTTTCGGATATATAATTCATCCAGATGCTTTAATCTTTCATATTGAAGAAGAATGGTGGGAAGAGGATTGAGAATCTGATTGTTCATTTTCGGGAAAGGTGACAAATGTGACTGATAGAATGCCATTAACAGTCAAATGATTGGGAAAGTTTTGTGCGGTCATAACATCGTGTCACTTATTAATTTTATTGTTCTTATTCAAAATCGACCAGCAATATTATGAAAGAATGTCCTCTCCGAGATTTCCTCCCATAATTCAACACTGTGATTTTGTAGTGATAAAGTTCTTGGTTGTTGCTCATCAGATTCTCCTGGAATTATGTCGGTATATGCTTGGTGTAGTGTATTATATATCAAACTTATTTGGAAGCAATGCAAATGAATAGATTATCGATTTGATCATTCAATGTATTTTGACAACGAAATTGATGATTATTTTATAGATAACCCTAAATAAATAAGAAATCGCATTAGCACTACGGAAATTACTGTTAACTTGCTACTTGCGCAATATCTGAATTTGGAAGGATTTCCGATGAGAATATATCAATTAATTAGTCGGAGATCTCCTTAATTGTTATCTTTACGTCAGAACAATCATTCAGGATGATATCTCAAGGAATATGTTTTGAACGACTATTCAGGATAATACCCCAAAGAATAGATATATGTGAAAAGAAATTGGACAATATTCCCTTCCGGCTGTTTTCATTTCCCAATACAGTTAGTAGTACTGTAATTTAGCCTTTTTAATCGATAAGAAAGAAACCTTGATGAAGCGACCGATTGTAGAACGGTTGATGCATTAATTGTTGTTGTATTAAGCATATATCTTAATGAAAAATGAATGATTTGTTGTCTATTAATTGTTGTTTACTGTATAGTTGGCAAGCATGAACATTTGATTTGATAGCTATTAACTTTGAAAAACAATCATTTTAAACTTCATATTTATTGAAAATTTCTACTACCGTTATAATAGATTGTACTTCACTATTGTTTTTATCAACACTATAGTACTCAATAATACAATATGGACCGTACACATAAATCTAATTTATTTTGCTCTCCTTCAATATATGACATATTGGTGGAATGTCTTTTTTCTTTTTTTTGACATTTGGTTATTTTTGAAGCGAAAAGTTTCGCGACCAGTCAAAATTTATTAGAGTCGGAGAAAAAAGTCCAACGAAACAAAGCAATGTTTCTTTTGAAGATAAAAGAGAATTAGGATAGGAGAAAAGCAGTAAAAACCACTTCTCAAATTAATTCACTTCCAAACTAACTCATTTCTTATTTTATTGTATTATTATAGATGGAAAATTTTTGAGACATTTTTGGAAAATTACTGAAAAAAAGCAATGGTTAATGAAATATTTTGCAAAATACATATTCTTATCCATTAAATCAAGATACCACGCTGATATGATAATAATAAACGACAAAAGTAAGAATTGATAATGGATCACGATATCAATCCCTATCGTTATAATGTGATTATAATTATCAGCGGAAGCACTAATCTTTTGAACGATTATTTCAAACTTAAAAACAGTGCATTTTCAAATTTGAAACTGTGTAAATGATATTCGATAATGCAATAAAAACAAAATAGACAAAGGAAGGAATGCTAATGAAATGACAATAATTAGAGGCTGAGATAATGATTGATTAAGATGACTTATAGCTAAAAAATCATTATCATTACACTATCATTTCTCATCTTTATATCCATTATAGAAGTATGCATAAAGCATATGAAAAATCGGAAAGAACATAATCTTCTTACTGTTAGTTGCTATTTCAGAATTGCTTTCAGATTTTGAAATATGATACAGCGGCGGATTCCTGGCTTGGTGCTTAGATGAACTATCGAACAGTGAAAATGGCTATAAATTTAAGCAAATTAAATTAAATATTATCACGAAATTATTTGTAAAAGTTGCTTCTATACAATCCCAAAATAAATATTGCTATGTTTCTGAACAAAGACAAAAAAAATCTTTCTCTAACTTTCAAAATAAACAAAATATGCAACGACATCATTGATTGGTTTTAAGTTTTGCTGACGATATGTGTTCTAGCCTTAATTTAAAAATTAGAGTTCAAATGTCAGCAGTGAAGCTGTCGTCCAATAAGTAATTAAAATTTGCGGAGATTAAGGCAACTAACCTAATTTAATACCTAACAACTCTTTATACTTTACTTGTGGTTTACTTATAACATTCATTAAAATACCTTCTTTTCCTGTTCATTGATATCAATATTAACTGATGATACGGAATCCGATTTTTTTGATGACATATCCGAAAACGAAATGGATTCAGACATCAAATCGGTTGTTTCACCGTCCGATATCGAAACACTGCTAGATTTGCTTGAATCGATATCTTTACTGCTTTGAAGATCAGTGGTACTTTCGTGATCAGTGGCGATTTCATCTACTGTTACGTTTTTAATTTCTTCATTGTTTTTTTCTGTCTGTTTTGAATCTACCAGTGACCTTCGAGGTTTTACATGTCTCAATGACAAAGCAGCAATTTCGGTTGGTCTGACCGGCCCGGAACATTCGGTTTGTTCCTTGATTTCCTGGACATTTAGAACACTTCAATTTCTGGTTTTCAACTTTCAATATTTTTCATTGTAGCGTAAATAACACCAGCTATTTTACTACCAGAATTTGATTTCTAACTTTGCAATTACAATCGAAATCTTCCTCAACATTGGTCTGTTGTTACTTTTGGTATTTGCAATTTCTAATAACAAAAATTTTCGAAATTAGCACTGAATTCTTAGCTAACTAAACAGAAAAAAAGCACATTTCACGTTCAAATGAAATAATTTATTAAATTAACAGGTTCAGTTGTCATTGTCCGAGATGATATACTCTTGAAGGATTCCATCGATGTTGATCTGTCTGAATCCTTCGTCTGCTTCCGGTAGGTTCGCTTTTCACGTTGTGACTTCTTGTAATTGTAAAGATTTGAGAAACTATTGAACACATCGAATTAGCTGATCAATGAAGCAATGAAAGAAAACTAGATTGTAAATCGATCTGGGTCATTTAGGTCAAAGCATCGAGAGGACATTTCTGTCATTGTCATCTTAGAATTATTGATTGCCAGAGAAATTAGAAAATTATCCAAAATTAGAAATTCATGAAACTACAGTGGAATTACCATTAATTTGAAATCAAATGGTAATTTATGTTGTTTGACGAGGAAATAGGATGCATTCGAAGGTAATGGTGAACTCGGTGATACTGATTGATTCGAGTTTGAATCAGCTTCCTTCTTGTTCCACATAAAGTCAGATTCACTTGAAATTGACTTCTCATTTGCCATCTGTTTCAATTTTGTCTACAAAATTATGATTACCACATATTACAAATAGTATCATACGACACAAATTCCTGAAATCAATTAGCAAAATTATTGGTGGATTTTAAAAAATTTTAGGCACAATAATTTTTTTTTTTAAGAAATGTTTCCGAAATATTTTCCAGTATTGATTTTCTAACTTGTCATATAAGGAATTACCGTTGATCCGGCTTGTAATGATTTCTCCGGGGATGGCAAAGGTTCATGACCAGATTTCTCGCCAACTTTTGATCTTGTAGCAACTTTGACCACATTTTTCATTGATTTTATCCCTTCATGAACAACATCCGATACAAACGGATTTATCTTTAGCATTGTTTTCGTTACCATCTGACCTTTACCCTTGGCATTTGTGATATCATAATTCTTCTTCTGAAATTTAAACTACTAGTTTAGTTATATTGTGTTTAACATATCCAAACATTCTCACTATAAGTGCTCTCATATACATATCGTATTCTCACTATACATAGCCGCTCTTGTCAAAATGCCTTATCTTTTACTTTATCCATAAAGTAATATAAATTAGAAAAGACTTGAATTCATATTTATGAAAAATGTAATTCGTATCAAATAAATCAGCCGTTAAATTTCCAAGTTTAATTCTAAGTTTAGTAACCTTTGATATGTCACAGCACGGAATCATTGCATTATATTTTCTTCCCATCGTTAAGCACTTATCACTTTCGCATTCTATATTCTTATTCTTATCACCACTATCACTAAGTGGCAAGGATGATTTGCTAGATGAATTGAAACAGCAATAACGCTGAGAACGACGAAGAAGTTCTTGCAGTTGGAAAAGTTGTGATTGTAAACTGAAACAAAAATCATTCATATCAATTTCTTTTAATACTTAGATAAATGGTCGGAAAATCGATCTCCTTCATTCGAACAAAAATGGATTCTGATTCATTTCCGGGTATTTCCCGATATTTATACTTACTAATGTCTCGCATCATCTAATTGCCAATATTCGGCATCATATACATCAATAACTTTTTGAAGATTTGTCAGATCGGTTTCAGTTTGATGGATTTGTTTTCTTAATGATTCATAACTATTCATTTGAAAATACAATTCTTGGCGCAATTCGATCCGTTTCAATACAAGTTTTTCTGCTATAATTCTATACTTCTCTTCTTCGGCTGTTTCTATCTGAAATTAATCAATTTTTTGTTGATATTTGAGAAGCGAATTATCTATCGATCGACTTACTGATTTATTTTTAATTAAATACATCACTTAATCCGATAAGATGAGTCTACCTGAAGTGCTCGTCTCTCTGCAACAGCAGTTGACATCAAAATCTCGAACAATTCCCGATTTACAAATGCCATTTCATCCAGAATTATTGCCCAGTTAGCAGCATCGAAATTCTTTACAAAGTGATTATTAAACTTTTGCATTCCAAAGTTCATTATTAATTTGTTTTTTAGACGATATTTATTCATTGGCATTTATGATGTTTTTATTTCATTAATTATCTCTTTCTGGTATAAAAGTTGGTATGATTTTCAATTATTTAAACTTTATTTCAAACAAACCATTTTTTTTTCAATCTTCTTCACATTTATTTACTACAATGCACTTATATCTTACAATCATTCAAAACATTTCATTTAGATAACTAAAAAAGAAGGACATTGCAAATGTAATTGGAAAATAACTGGAAAGAAAGACCTGCTCAGAAATTAATTTTGAAATTTTCGTTAACTGTTCTGCATAACGTCTTTTCCGATTCCCAATTTCAATATTCGAAGTCTCACAATTGATACAAAAAACATTTAATTCTTTAAGTCTAAAAATTTAATGATCATTTTGTAACTTATTGTGTGCTTGTTGATAAGATATATATATATATATATATATATATATAT